TGCTTAATTCACGGAAGGGAAATTATGATTTCTGAGGGCATGATTGTTTGGGAGGAATTTGGATTTGGGTGTGGAGGGAAGTTTCAGCTTGTTCATCAGGAATAGTTAATTCTTCTGTATCCCCAATTTTTAACTTCTCTAATAATTGAGTATTAAGTTCTAAATTAAGTTGTCCGCTATCCATTTGTTGTAATCCCTGAGTAATTTGTTTAGTATTTATAGGTTTACTATGTCAAACTTCTGAGGATTGGTAAGTAGGACATTTGATTTCATCTGGTAAAGCTATATTATATTCTTCGGCTTCTTCATATTGTTGGTAGAATTCGGTGTCTGTTTTCAAAGAACCATGCTCATTAAACCATTCTCCAACTATCCCGCTCACTTCCTTAGCAGTAGGTCTATTATTGGGTTCATTATCTCAGCATTTAGTAATTAAATCTACTAATATTTGGGGATATTCAACTTGCTCTGGGAGTTTAGGTCTTGCTCCTTGACAAATCTTTAAGGCTAAATCAACGTCATGAGCTTCCTGAACAAAGGGAGGCAAACCAGTAGTTACTTCATACATAATCATGCCCAAGGAATAGATGTCTGCTTCTTGTTTGTAAGCCTTGCCTTTTAATACTTCTGGAGCAACATAAGGCATTACTCCTCAAACTTGATTATTATCTACTTCATCAGCAGATCTAGATAGGCCGAGGTCAGTGATACGACATTCAGCAGTGCTGAATGAAGCACTATTATTATGCTTCTCTAACTTACCTCTATCAACAATAATATTCCCGCTATGAAAATCTCGATGAACTAATTTATTACGATGTATTTCTTTGAGTCCTTGGGTGATTTGTTTTAGAAAATGAAGTTTGCTGTTTACACCATATTCATTATAAAAAATTAAATTCTGATAATTTTTTTGTAAATATTTCTTTAAACTGCTATCTTTCATATACTTCATCACCAGAACATAATCACCTCTTTCATTTTTGGAAACTCCATAACAAGGCACTATATTACTTATTTCACTTCTGAACATTTTATAAAAAGTTAGTTCTTGTAAGCGGTCTTGATTTAGGTCTTGGGAATTAGTGAGAGTTTTTAGGGCTACTGTTTTATAGTTCGCATGATAATCACTGCTTCTTTTTCACTTTCCTTTTCAATCATCTCATCTTTCGATCGCCCCCTCTTCTAACTCAGCTTTATAAACCTTACCAAATCCTCCGTCAGCAATATGCTCTATATTCCTAAATTTCTCATAAGGAATTCATTCTAAAACATTTCAAGAACTAGTTGCTTCTAATTGGCATTTTTGGATAAAGTTATCTATTTCAGGGTTGCCGCTGGTTCAGTTATTAAATTCGGCTCGAAAATGTTTAGCATTACAGGATTGACATCATCCTCCACTTCATTCTCTACTAGTATTAGGTTGGTAGCATACTTTACAAGTGCCAAATTTTTCATATTTATCCCTTCAATCTTTAAACTTTTTTCTATTTTCTAAGGCTCAGGCTAGGTCTAGTTTTTTGAAGTTGAGAAATCATTTGATAAAGGTGCCATGTTCGGGTTCAATTCCTAATTGTTTTCATTCTTCAAGGAATTGTTTAGTCTGTTCTTTACTAAATCCCACTTCTAACCATTCTTTTTTATATTTAGGAGCAAATTTTTTATGAATATCTTTTCAAAGTTCTTTTTCTAACTCGGCCTTAGTCTGGGCTAATTTACAATCAGGTCTCAATTTAGTGTCATAGTTATATTGAATTTTTTCTAAACTACCAGGTAAATATTCCCAACCCCTATTGATATCGGTGTTGTCAATAAACAATCCTCCTAAATTACCTAAACCCTTCAAAGGTTCCAGAGAACCTTCTATTCTATTATATATTCCTTGGCTGATTTTGTTTTTATTATAATTACCAATTCATAACACCTCTAAATTCTTGAACTTATTAAAAACAGCGAGGTCAGAAAGAGAGAGTTTATTGCTGCTTATATCTAAAAAAGTTATATTTTCAGGATTAGAGGGATAGATTATTTGGGTAAGGTAATTATCAGCACAACCAAATTGCTCTAATTGTTCTAAATTACTTAGATTTAGAGTAGTAAGTTGGTTATTAGAACACCAAATTGTCTTTAACTTCTTACAATTATTCAGGTCAAGATTAGTGAGGCAATTATCTCAGCACTCTAATAATCATTCTAAATTAGTAAAATCAGAGAGGTTTAAGTTTCCTTCTAGGGCTTCTTCACTAATGTCTAATTCAGTTATTGCTTCTCTTTTTTTATTAAAATTTGGATTCTCTCTACCTCGTTTATCTTTCTCTATTTTACAAGTTCCATTTTTAGGATATTCTTGATCTAGTCAAGTTTGGGCTGGAATACAAGGGATTATTTCAGTTTCGTATGTTTCCCCACATTGTTTTTTATTGCTCCATTTCTTATTCTTATAAAAACCTCCTTTTATCTCAAATTTACTCCTATCTACTTGAGCAGAAATGAATATTTTCGATAAGCTTTTATACTCCCCACAATCCAGAATTCCTTCTAATTGTCAGTTTAGGTATATTTTATGTGTTTCCTTATCAGGATAATATTTTTCTAATCGTGCTTGGTTTTTTTGGCTCTTGATCTGGCAATTTTTTCTTAATTCCTCTAAATTTAAATTATCTTGGGACTGATATCCCTGTTTAGTTAGATAGGCAGCGAAAGCACAATCCTCAGATTGGAGGCCAATATCTAATCATTTTTTAGTTTGTTCGGCAGTAAAATCTCTAGTTTTTCATTCTTTTACTTCCTGACTACTAAAACCTTTCTCTATTCATTCTAAAAATGCTAAATCTTGCTCTGAAAAATTATTGCTATAGATATGCAACTTTTCTAATTTAGCACCGGGATTTAAATCTAACTTAGTTAGTAAGTTATATCTACAATTAAGTCTTTTTAATTTAGCACAATTACTTAAATCTAAATGAGTTAATTGGTTGTTTCAAACCTTAAAATTAGTTAAATTAGCACAATTATTTACTTTCAGACTAGTTAATTTGCTTTTTAAATAAACACCTTCAATTTCTACTATTTCTAAATTAGGATATTCTGATAAGTCTAATTCTCCTCCCTCTAGCTTTCGGGATTCATATCTGGTGTCTCAGTTGATTATTATTTCCCTTACTTGTTCCTTTTCTTGTTGAGTTGGATATTTATTGCTTAGATATCCTTGAAGCGTAGGCATAATATTCTATTTTAATATTTCAATTGTTTCGATAAATTACTATTGGGATATTCTTTTTTTTTAAACCCCCTGCATAAGAGCAGGGCAACTTAATATTAATTTGTTCTTTAATCTCCATTCCACCCTCATCTTTTTTTTCCAGATCTTCTTCCTTCTTCTTTAAACTCCCTTTTGTTTCTTCATTTAGTTTTTCCTCACGCTTAATAAGGTTATCTTTCTCTTTCAAGCATTCTTCTAACCCAGAAACTTTAGCCTCAGCACTAGCAGCTTTAACAGCTTCATCCATTCTCTTTTTCTTTTCCTCATTCGTACAACGACATTGACTCATCTCCCTTTCGGCTTTTTGCAAATACTTGTTAGACTTGTTAATAAATTTCGTGATTAACGTTCTAAAAACCATCATGCACGAGATTGACCTCAAAATTAAGTCTTACAAAACAGAAGCAGTATCTCGCCGATAGTTTTTGTTATTAATCACTAAATCTGTATTGAAGGGAAAACAATTCAACTAATGTCTCATCAACTTTTAACATAGTAGCTGGGTCCAATTCTCCCAGCTTGTCACCTAATCTCTGTTTATCTATTGACTTAACTTGATCGCACATGATCTTTCCTGTTCTAATTAGCAATTCAATAGGATAGTAAACTTTTTCTATGTTGGTAGAAAATGGTAGCACGATCACTCTTTTACTGACTTCGTTCTGCCAATCATTACTAATTATAACAGCAGGACGAGGCTTACGAATTTCGGTACCAACGCTCTTCTTATCAAATTTAACTCAATAAATTTCTCCGCGTTTGATTATTTTTGTGCTACTCATTTTCGTCTTCAGCTTGTATTCTGTCTCATTCAGCTACTTCTTTTTGCCTTTCGGGATCAGCATCAGCTAGGCGATAAGCTCTTTTTCATTCTTCAGCTTTTAACACTCGTGCTACTTCTTTTTCACTTAATTGATTAGCTTGGATCCGTTGTTGTATTTCTCTCAGCAACTGTTTGTTGTCTATTTGTCTTAGTTCAGTCATAAACCATAATAATTGTATTTTACTCTTTTTTTGGTGGAATTTGGATCTGAGAAATCAACTCAACCTCATTACTTTCTACCGAAACCTCTGCTAATCTGTTGTTTTCACTTTCTGTTTTTGAGTCTTGAGTGACTTCTTCTTCAATAGCAGGTTTAGTGATTCCTATTGTATTATTACTACCAATGCAAAGTTGTGAGATTCTGGATGAACACTCTACAGTAGCCAAGTAGTTGTAAAATTAATCATTGATTTCTTTGGAATTTTGTGGCTCAGGAAGACTTTTGAAATCTAAAAGTCTGCTGGTATAAATTGCCGAAGGGCTAATTTTATTTTTCAGCATAGTGAGTATGAAATTGCTCCAAAAATTGTTCGGTGACCATCACGTTAGCTCAATGTTTGTCTTCCCGATGACTTAATGCTTCACCTACACTAAAGGTTGCGGACAGGCCAAAAACAGTTAGAATAATTTGTAGTAACATAATATGTTATTTTGCCAAGATTGTGATTGCTTTTCTCTTAAAGAGAAAATTTTGTATAATATAAATAACAAGCTATGGTAAACGCCCGAGAATGGTTGGAAAAAGAATATCCTCTAGAAAAAAGAGTGGAAATCACTGATTTAAAAATTAGAAGCAAAGGTCTAGAAGGAGAGTTAAAACTAACTGATTTTTTTAAATTAAAAGCTCTTGATTGTAGTTGAAATAAATTGCTTAATTTAGATTTAAGTAATTGTTACGAATTAACTTACATAGAATGTCAAGGCAATCTATTAACTAATACCGATTTTTTGGCAGCTTTGCCAAGTGCGCCCAAGTTAATTTCTTTATATATAGGAGAAAATGATTTTGCCGAACAAGATCTGAGTTTTTTACAACCTTTTGAAAACTTAGAGACCTTATGAATATGAAATAGTCACCAAAACCGAATAGATGAAGGATTGATTAATCGCTTTCAGGGCAGTTTAAAGCATTTACAAAACATGAAAAACTTGAAAAAGCTGGGTATAGGTAATACTAATGTTGATTCAGGACTGGAATGTCTGGCTGAAAGTAAACTAGAAATATTTGCTACCGAATGATATCCTTGAGGTGATAATGGAAAGTTTAGTGGCAAAATAAAGGAAGCCAAGGCTGAAAAATTATTCGCAGAATTACGGCCCTACGCTACCGATATTAAAAAAGGCAAATATGATTTTTCGGCCTGAAAAAATACTAAGTTGATTGAATTGCAATTAGATAATGAAAGATTGAGAAACAAAGACAGCAATCAAAAAAAGGAAATAGAAAAATTGTGCGGAGAGTTAAAAGTCATTGGCGGAGAACTACTAACCAGAAAAAAGAAAGAATTCGAGAAATCAGCCATTGCGGAAAAAAACCAATTAGATGAAGATTGCCAAGATTATTTAGAAATATTTCTTAGTGCTCAAAAGGGAAGTAATATAGGTAAATTAGCTAAAAAAAATTTGCTTAAGAAAATAGAGGAAAAGGAATTAGAAGAACTATTGGCTAAAAAACTAGAAATCAATAAATTAGAAAGTCGCTTAAACAGTTTGCGAATTCAACAGCAATCTTTCCTCCACACCCAAATCCAAATTCCTCCCAAACAATCATGCCCTCAGAAATCATAATTTCCCTTCCGTGAATTAAGCA